GGGAACACTGTGACAGGACTCCCTGAGCCAGGAGGGCTTCCGTGGGGAGGTGCCGTTGGAGCTGACATCCAAAGGATCAAGGAGAGGCAGCCCTGAGAAGATGTGCGGGAACTGTAATTCAAGCAGTTTTGAACAGGAAATACAAAGGTCCTGAGGCAGAAGTGAGGAGCTGAAAGTACACAGGCAGCTTTAATGCTGCGGTTCTAGAGACCACACCTTGAGAGCTACCAAGATAGAAAGCCTGGCCCGCAAACAGAGAATGCTCCATGACCAGGTCAGCGGGGAACATGCGGCCTGTCAGGGCTATATAAGACTCTTGCTTATGGGACTGGAGAGGTGGCCCAGCAGTTAAAAGCACGTGTTGCTCTTGCAGAGGACCTGAGTTAGGTCCCCAGCATCCACAGAGTAGCCTACAGCCATCTGTAACTCTAGTTCCAAAGGATCCAGTGTCCTCTTCTGGCCTCTTTAGGGCCTGCTGCCTAAGGTCCCTTACCTAGCCAGGCCTGCAGGAGGCCGTGGAATATGCCTGGTTCGTGGAGGGAGAACCTCCCAAACACCTGCATCCCATGTACCCACTCAGCTCCCGTTAGTGCAGGCCCTGCCTACTCTCCTTCAAGGGCACCCGCTTCCTGACTTCCATCACGGCAACCGGCCAGGTGCTTTTGATCTCATGAGCATCTCATCCTGAAGAGTGCGTGCTCTTCTGTAGTCTGCTTTTCCTAACCCACAGTGCGACTGCGAAGCCTGCCACTGTCTGTGCCAACTCCATCCCCAGTGGTCCATGTTCCACTGCGGTTAGACCACATGCCCAGAGCCATTCTGCTGTCCTGTTGTATTCGTTTCCAAACAAAGGGCTCAAGCTGGGATTTATTTGGGATGGGGTTGCTGCAGATTGAGCCAAGGCCTTTAGCACACTAGACACATGGTCTAGCATGAAGCTATACCCTGAAGGCCTCAAGCTCGGGCTTTGAACCATGTCTTTCCTGGGTTCTGGTCATAGGTGGGTAACTTGGGCAAATAACATTTCTCATTTCTTTGGTCTTCTCCACAAAGACAGGAATGAGCCACCATCCTCATTTACAGGAGATGTAAAACCTTGTACCCAAAGGGGTGCAGGTAGACAATGCTCCAAGGAGCAGAAGCTACCCGTGGGGCTAAGGCAACTGGAAGCACCAACCTCTCAGTACCACAGCTCCAGGGTCCTAGGCATGTGCCAGCCCACTGTGGTCTTCTACAGCCATGCATACACCCCAAGTTATGTGTTTACATATATGTGCTCATTTGCAGGTGGCCAGCCATGTGTCTAGCAGACCTCTACATGCATGCTCATTGGTCTGTGCCCATCTGGGCAGCAGATGCAGGGGGGAGGGGAGAGTCTTAGCTCACACATCCAAGCAACACCATGAGCTGTTGCTTCCAGCTTATCTTAAAATAGCTACAGTGAAGAAATCAGGCCAAGCTCAGCCCTGGGGGAGGGAGGGATGGGTGGAAGGCAGTGGAGGGAATGGTACGAGCCCCTCTCCAGCCCCATACCTGAGCCTGCAGCTCTTCTGCCTGGGAGGGGAGCTTCCAGAGTCAGTCCTGCAGTTTGACTGTGCCTGAACAGAAGACCCATTTGCTCTCTCCCAGTCTATTCTGTCTCCGTGATGGCGGTAGAGGCCGCCAGGTTCTGAGCTGTGCGGCACAGAGCGCTGGGCACCCTCTCCTCTCCACGCCCCTCGCTTTCCCTGACGATTGGGTGGGAATTCACCACTCACACCTTTATCTCATTTCTCACTTTTAAGACCTCACATCAACAACTTACCTAAACATCTCTTGCACTGCCAAGCCATGCTAGTCTACCTCACTCTTCCAAGCAACCCATAGCACACCAGCGTGGGATTTTAAGGAGTGTCCGTCCAGTCGCCCACACAGCCCTGCTCTTCTCTGTTCACAGCCAGAGGAGGTGGCCCAAGAAGCCGCTGAGGAGCCACTGATTGAACCCCTGATGGAACCTGAAGGGGAAAGTTATGAGGAAACACCCCAGGTGAGGGGGGGAAACAGAGATGGGGGAGGGGCATCCCTGAAGAGTGAGGTCACCCCTAGCTGGGTGGGAGGTCCCCAGCATGATAGAGCTGGGCTGGGGGTCTTCAATAACTCAGGCTCCGGGGCATGGAAGTCGGGAGGGCAGGACAGATGGCAGATGGTGCCTAATGCTAGGCCCCAGGCACAACTGCCTTGGACTCTCTCAGCTGAACTCAAGCCCAGATTTCTCCCCACCCAGGGGGTGGGGCAAACATTATTCCTCCTTGATGGGGAGGGATCTGGCAGGCTGCGTTTGACCACTCACTCTCCAACACTTCCTTTATGCTCTTCTCTATTCCACCCCCTCCCTCTGATGCAGGAGGAATATCAGGAATACGAGCCAGAGGCGTAAGGGTCCAGGAGGGCCCCGCACCAGCAGCACAATTCCTTTCCTGTCCCTGCCCCGCCCGTCACCCCCAGAGCCAGGGCTGTCCTTCCACCTTCTCCCCCAAACACGAGATCTTCCTTCGGCTCCGAGGCACCTCCTCCGGGCCTGTGTTAGTGTCTGCCCTGTCCTTCTGTCTGTCTTACCTGCCCGCGTTCATCCCTGAGGCGTGGACTGGAGTCGGCAGAGGCCCGGCTGGGAGCTCCGCCCCGCCAGTGTTACCCTCACCCTCCATCTGGTCCAGTGTCTGCTCGGATGTAGCATGTTCTATGTATTTTTAAACCAAGATGGGAAAGCTATGGCTCCTTCCCCATCCCAACAGAGGTTCTCCGAGGGGCCCCCCGGGCAGCCCCACTTTGACTCCTAAAATGTTTTTTTCTTTTTAACCCAAACCAGGAGCCAGGTCGTGCCATGCCCCCTCCCTCAGCCCGCTCGGTCCGAGCGTGGGCGTCGTGTGTTGTGATTGTGGCATGGAGAGTCCCCCACCCACTGTGTGAGCGTGTCCCGGGTGGGCCGGCCCAGCCGCCCCCCAGAGTGTCCATGAATAAAGCCAATCTGTCTGTAGCTGGCGCCACCTGGGCAGGGCGGGGCTTCCGGGCCCCGGACCGCCCCTCCGCTCTTTGGGCCCTGGCACACTCAACATAGGTACACCGCTGGCTATCTGAGACCTCAGCGTATCCATCTCCTACTCCAAGTGGGCCCACGCCCCGGAGGGTGATGGCCTCCACCTCCACCCGCGCTGGGACTGAAGTTCACTGGGAGGCGGGAAGTTAGCATCGGGCGCCACCTCCTGGCAGGAAAAGGGGTGCAGGGCCAAGAGCGCAAAAGGACCGCACCGGCATCGTGAATACGCATGCACACGCGTGCACGCGCGCCAGTCTCTACGCGCAAGCCCCGCGTGTCAGCACCAGAGCCAGGGCGCACGTGCAGACCTGCGCCCTCTGTCGCGGTTGCAGCTGCGCCGCGGAAAGACGTCGCTAACCGTTAGCAGACCCCTCCCACTCCAGTCCTGTACATACACATCTATGCACACCTGCCCAACGCAAACAAACAAAACCATTGGAGACATTGGCCCAGGGAGGGCACAGCGCCCAGCAGGCGGTACTCTGCCCTCCCAGAAGCTCCACTGAAAGTTTGAGATTTCAGCTGGAGTGGGAGAGGGTCTGCAGGAAACTGGGAAGCCGGACCAGAAACCTGGAGCAAACCAGGATCAGCACTAGGGGGCCCCCGCCGACTCAGAGTAAGAAGGGAACCTCGAAAAGACCCGCATTGGAGGCTCCGCCTCTGCAACCACGCAGCCTTTAAAGGCACAGAGTGCCCTGCTCGAGGCTCCGCCCCATCTGTGCGGCGTTCCCATTTGCAGTAAAAACCTGGTCCTGTCTCCATACGCCCGGCAGACTCCTGATTTACTGCCGAGAAACCCCCTCAGCCTCGCCTTGACCTCCCGCTTCACAGCTGGAAGCAGCTTGCTGTATTCAGTCAGCTCCTTTTCCCTTTCCCAGAGTCGATGGAGAGAAGAGGACGCAAGTCTGGGGAGAACATTAACCCTGTGGGAGACCTGTGTGTTCCGCTCACCTGGGCCTTCCTGTCTGGAAGCAGGAAGCCGCTACCAGATGACCCTATGAAACAAACTGGTGGGCTTGGATGAGTGAGAGTGATAGGAGTTGGAAACCCCTTGCGGCTCAGTTACACTTCTGAGAACCCGCAAGCTTCTTGAGCAGTGGTTCTCAGCCTTCCTGATGCTGTGACCCTTTAATACAGTTCAGATTGTGGTGACCCTCAACCATAAAGTCACCTTCGTTGCTCCCTTTTAACTGTAATTTTGCTACTGTTGTGAATCAGTAATGTAAATACTTTTGGAGATAGACGGTTGTCAATGGGTCGAGACCCGCAGATTGAGAATCACTGTTCTGGACACTACAAATGCATGGCCCTCTGGCTGAATTTTGACCTCTAGATAGGGTTAATTTACCAGCACACTATATTTTTTCTAAGTCTGGATACCTTTGGTTTGTGTACACCTTTTCCAGCCCTGCCTGTCCTGATTTTATTACACCCAGTCTGCAGGCAGTGTGTGTGTGTGTGTGTGTGTGTGTGTGTGAGAGAGAGAGAGAGAGAGAGAGAGAGAGAGAGAGAGAGAGAGAGAGATCTGTTATCTGTAACCCAGCACCTGAACTCCTTATTTATTTATTGGCTCAACCTGTTATCTTCAGTCCCTGATCCCCATTTTTAGACGGCAAAACCAGGTTTACCATCTGGCCTGTGAAGAGATTTATTTCCTCCTTCCCAAGTGCCAAATCCTACACCTGGCCCCACTGAGAATGATTCTGCTCAGAGACCAACATTCTCACCTGCCAGGGTCACTTTAAATGCATTCCAGGCACAAATCCAGAAGCAGAAGATGCCAACCCATGTCTGATGACTCTGTGTGTGTATGTATGTCCATGTGAGTGTGAGTGTGTGCGCATGTGTGTGTGTGTGTGTCCGTCCAGCTCATGGGGTCTGAGCCATTTCCCAAGCTCCCAGTATATTCCAAGCATGTGGTACTTACCTTCATTAATTTCACTTGAAATCTCTCTCTGTACTTCATTGCTACAACCTCAACCTACAAAGGAGGGAATAGGAGTTAGAGAGGCAATGTTACCTGCCTAGGGCTGATTGCAGAAAAATGTCAAAAGCCAGATTGAGCCCTATTTCTGACTCCAAAGGCCAAGACTTGGAATTTCCAAAACCTGTATTCTCTGGCTTTGAAGAGAGACAAATGAAAAACTGTGGATAACAGGCAAATGTGGCAGACACTTGTGCAGTGTCACAGAGACCGTAGTGACACTACGTGCATGTGGATCTGTGTGTGATGATTGCACCAGTGGTGTGGATGCACATATGTGCTATGCTTGCATCTGTGCTCATGTGTGCTCGTGGTGTTGACAGTATGTGTTGTGTGCACCATGCTCCAGTCTCACATGTGAGGGCTTTCAGGAAACCCTGTTGTCCTGACAGCTCAAAGTCCAGGAATCACAAAGTGATCAACAATGCCAGGTGTGGGGTTGAACCAGGAGGATCATGAGTTTGAGGCCAGACTGTTCTACCTAGCAAGACCCCGACCTTCTCAAAAGGAAAAGAAAGAGATAAGGATAATTTCAAGCTTCAAGAGAAACATAAAAAAGATGTGACAGGGAGTCTGAAAGGAACGGGTGGTGAGCAACATTAAAAGGCGGCCAGAGAGCAGTGAGATAGCTCAGCAGAAAAGACTGCTGACCCAAGTTTGACCCCTGGAGCTCACATGGTAGAAGGAGAAAACTAACTTTAGGAAACGGTTCTCTAGCTGGGCGGCGGTGGCACACGCCTTTAATCCCAGCACTCGGGAGGCAGAGGCAGGCAGATCTCTGTGAGTTCGAGGCCAGCCCGGTCTCCAAAGCGAGTTCCAGGAAAGGTGCAAAGCTGCATAGAGAAACCCTGTCTTGAAAAACCAAAAAAAAAAAAAAAAAAGAGAAGAAAAGAAAAAAAAAGTAAGCAAGCAAAGAAAAGGGTTCTCTGGCCTTCAGGAATGTGCTTCCCTACCCCCCAAAATGAATAAATTAAAAAAAAAAGTCATAGAATTTAACAATAAGTTGGTGAGGTCAAGCTCCTCTGAGGTGAGGCGGAGTTGACACTTGAAGAGGATGCCAGGAGGTGTTCTGGAAAGCGTGAATGTTAGAGGCTGAGACCTGCCAGGCCTCCCAAATCCCCGGGAATGTCCAGCCTCACCCCAGCCGGCGATCTTGGCTTTCTCTCTCTCTCTCTCTCTCTCTCTCTGCCTGCATTTCTTCCTCCTAAGCATCTGCTTCCAACTCCACTTTGTTGAAATGAAGCCCTTTCTTTTCTGAGATTTCCTATAGCTCTGGAGCCGTTTCTTCCCACTGCCTCACCATGCTCGTCCACATCAGCACTCTGGAGACTCCTGCTGAGCAGCTAGCTGCAAAACTGCCTAATTCCCCTAATGAAGGGTTAGGGGCTGTCCCCATATCCTTATCATGTCATTTGTCTGTCTCCCCACCCCCAGCCCCAGTAACGTGGCTTCAGGGATTTCTCTGGAACTTTATTTTTGTTTTCTCTCTTCCCTATTTATAGCTCTCTCCCATCCGAACCATCTCTGCATCCATCTGGTTGCCTAGAAACAGGCTCCTGGGCTGAGGGTGGGGGAAGGCCAGAGAGAGCCCAGGCAGGGGGGAAGGAAGAGATGTTACCCACTTCCTGTTCAGCACCACCCCCAAGCTTCCAGAAGCCCACTCTGCCCTCTGCCCAGCACCCATAGATGTTAAATGTTAAGTGTGAAAAGCAGCTGCGGGCCTTTGTGGAGTCCTTCACAGCTTTGAAAGGGCAGAGTGGTGATTTCACTGGAGTCTCTTAATAGCTTACCTTAACAGAAGCCTGGACTCTTTTTTTTTTTTTTTTTTTTTCATATAAGAAAACTGAAGTTTCCAGAAGCAGTCTCCAAAACCAAGGCATTTTCCAGGGAAACTCCATGTCTGGGTTTGTCAGCCTTTGAATATTGATCTGTGACAACAAAAGATTTGAAGGCACAGACAATTCCATAATCCATTAATTACAGGGAAGTAAGAGACTTTAATAATCCTCCATATACCATTCTCTACTAGACGTCCCCCTCACTACCCTAGCCCTGCCCAACTGTGCCATGCCACAGTACTCTTTTGATGCCCCACCATGCCCCCCTGGTATCCCACACACATACTTCCCATGGCTACACATCACCTGACATGCGGCCCCCCTGCCCCATGTTTCCACCAGGTCCTCTGCTCAGGGCTCACCTCCACAGGCTGGACTAAGGAGGCCTGAGCTTTGGTCCTGGGTCCATCATCTCACTGTGTGATACTGGCCAGCTCGTAGGAGCTCTCAGAGCTTTGGTTCTCTCAGCTCCAAAGTGAGGGTGTTCATTTCCACCCCCAGATGAAAAGGCGCTTTATAAACTGCAGAGTGAGAGCAGTTAATTGGGAGTGATCAACTAGAACACTTTATGTTGTCAGCGTTATTCTATTAGGGCTATCAGGTCGGGCAAGGGAGCCAAGAGGAGCTTAGGGATTAAATGGGGAGCTCCTGGCCCGTTTCCAAACAAAAGGGTCTCCATTCCTGGTGGAATAAGGAGTATGGCTTGCTGAGAAGCCCTTTTGCATTGTGTCTGCTTCTTAAGTACTCTATCCCTTACTGCCCTCCCTCCCTGTCCCCCCCCCCCCCCCCCCCCCCACCCCCCCACCCCCGCACCCCAAAACACCAAGGCCCACCCCTGCCCTCCAAATAGGCTCTCTGGGCAGAAGGGGGAGGGGCTGTCAAGAAACAGCTGGGCCATGATTCAGCCTGAGTCACCCATCCAAATCCTGGGCCACCCCAGTCTTCAGTTGCTAGGGGTGGAGAGCTGCAGGAGGGTAGGGAAGGGGTCTGTGTGGGCATCAGACTGTGAGATCTCCTCACTTTTTTTTTTTTTCCAGTACTGGGGATTGAACCCAGAGCCTTGCATGTGCTAGGCAAGTATTCTGCTGCACTCAACCACAGCCCACTTTTATGTTTACTAGACAGCCAGGTTCTTGCTCAATTGCCCAGACTAGTTTAGAACTATTATAGTCCAGGCTAGCCTGGAGCTCTCAATCCTCCTGCCTCCTGAATAGCTGGGATTACATTCCTATGCCACCATACCCAGCTAGTTTCGTTCAGGCCAAGCAAGAACTCCTGGGGCAGCATGGTGAGGGCCTAGGAACAGTCCTTGTGGGGAGGTCAGGAAGGCCTTGTCAGGTGTTAGTTATCTGGGCTGAGGGTGGGAGGGGCGTGCACATACATGGGTGCTGCATGTGTACATGTGTATGGCCACACTACGACTCCTGGCTTTGTCCCATTCTAACTCTGTGGCCCTAGTGAGTTAACTTTTCTCATCTGTCTAGTGGAACTAATAATTATCCATCTCAGCTGGCTTTCTTTAAGAATTAAATAAGGAAGCAGGGTGGTGGTGCATGCCTTTAATCCCAGCACTCAGGAGGCAGAGACAGTCAGATCTCTGTGAGTTCAAGGCCAGCCTGGTCTACAGAGTTCCAGGACAGGCTCCAAAGCTACAGAGAAACCCTGTCTAGAAAAAAAAAAAGAATTAAATAAGGAGCTGGAGAGATGGCTCAGAGGTTAAGAGCACTGGCTGTTCTTCCAGAGATTCCGAGTTCAATTCCCAGCTCACATGGTGGCTCACAACCATCTATATTGAGATCTGATGCCCTCTTCTGATGTGCAGGCAGAACATGCAGACAGAACTCTGTATATATATAATAAATAAATCTAAAAAAAGAAATAAGATGCGGCAACAACTATGGAAAACCTGGGGAGTACTACCATTGCCACCTGGGGTGGGCACAGTGCACAGGAGAGGCATGGAGCCTGAAGAAGTGTGCGGTCTTGATGAGCATGTAAACATGGGCTGCACATGTCTCCTTGAAGCACATGAACTGTGTTCAAAAATGATGCCCAAAGATGGGGCTGCATGTTCCTGCCTGCCATAATCCTAACACACACAGACACACACACACACACACACACACACACACACACACACACACACACCATCCCTGGAGGTTTTGATTGGTAAAAGCTGATGTTCAGCCTAGATCAGAACCAGTGTACTGGTGAAGGGACAGGAACTATGGATGTTACTAATTGGCAATCTCAAAGCTTTCCCAAAGCCTTTAGCTTCAAGCAAAACTGGAATGAGGTTATCTGGCTAGAGCCCAGGAGTGGGCGGTCCTGGGTGTGAAACACGATAGTGTTTGAAATAGACATGAACATGATATGGACATGACAGAGAGGGAGAACATGAGAGACACACTGTGATGCTTGTGAGCATGTGCATACAGACATTCAGAGTGGCATGGGGGCTGGCTGCTGTCTCTGCTTTGATATAGTCTGCTTGTCTCCATGGTGCCTGTTGCCACACACGCTGGCTCTCTTTTCAGAAAGTCACTGGGATTGTTTATTCCACCCCCGGCCTGGGCACCCGCCAAGGAGCTGCAGGCACTTGTTTATCTTCTGGTGCATACGAATGTGTATGGCTCCCCAGCGGCAGTCCAACCCGAGGTACAAGCACATGTACGAATACACATACACACATACCACATGGTGTGGGTGACCATGTAGGTTTATTATAAGGTGAGCCTAAGTTCCAGGCCTTGGGAGATTCTCCATAAAGGGACACATATAACTCTCCAGAAAGCTCCAAGTAGGCACATCATCCATCTGGCAACACCTAAAATTACAGAAAAGTAAGAGAGTCACTTGCCCTGGGTTTGGTGCCTTGCTTCACCCTATCCCCAGAATGAATTACTGGATGGTGGCTGGCCAGATTTGGGTCACTACCTACTCAATAGATGGGTCCAGAAGTAGCCCTCTAGGGAAAATGGGGGTACCACAATGAGAAAGGACATCTGTGTGAGACTTTCCATCAACAGTGGTGTTCTCCACAAAGGCTATACTATGCCGGTATGTGCGGACCTCTGGAAGCCTAGTGTTACATGTGGTGGCATGAGGTTCAGAGACCTTGAAGCTGGGACTGGCAATGCTAACAATGAGCACACAAGAGCTGCTTTCTTGCCCATTTCCTGTTCCTCATTTGCTCTAGCAAGTGTTTGGTTGTCCAGAAATTTTAAAATATGATTTTATTAACAAGTCCTGTTGGAACAAAAGCTGTTATAAGGCATGGCCGAGGACACATACAAAGAGGCCTTGACCATGACCTCATAGACACAGCCAGATTACTGACCTTACCCTTCAGATGCGCCCACCAAGAGGACTCTCAACAATCCACTGCCTGAGTCTTTGATATCAAAGAGAAGTACTCAGACTGCTGGAACCATTTTGGGTAGGATACCTAGGAAGAAACCACAGCACCATGAATAACCCAGGGACAGTCCCTAACCAAACATCTGTCAAGTGTTGTTATATGCATATGTTGCCCTTGGCCAGGGGAATTCTGAAGTGTACACTTACACCATTTTCTAAGACTTTGCTGCAGATCTAAGCTCCACTCATCCACTGTGGCAGCTCTTAGTAACCTTGTGTTGGCTGCCTCTGCTTCCCGGGTCACCTTCTCACTCCCCTGCTGGTGTCCTACCACCTCACAAATGAGCCACATGCCTTTCATATTCACCTCGGGCTCCTGGAGGCATCCCCAGGATCTGCATCTCGGCTTCTCCCTCCAGACTCCTGCCCCGCCCCCCGCTGGCATCTTTCCCTTCCCTTCTGCTCCGGCCCCTCCCATCTCCACCTCATCTGCCTCTGTGGAAGCTGTCACAGTCATTTGTGTTCCTTCTTCCTTTCTTTTTCCCCTTTTTATGACAGCATCTTAGGGACCCCAAGCTGACCATGAACTCCTGGTCCCCCCTTCCGTCCCCTGAGTGCTGGAATTACAGATCTGTGCCACCATACCTCTTCTCTTTCTCAGGGTGCAGACTTCCTGGGGAAGATGTCTCCTTGCTCACTGCCCTTCCTTCCTCCCATTTTCACAGCAGCCCGGTGTTCCTTGGGAGGTGCTAGGGTTCTCATGCTTGCCTGCTTGTTTAATGCCCTTCCTCCGTATGCTGACTCCCTCCCCACCCCCACGACTGCCAGCTCTCAGACAGTGTGCCTCCAACTGTGACAGCATTAGAGCTCAACCCTGGACTCATATCTTAGGGTGGTCATCCCACAAGCACTCCCTTTCCCCAACATGCATGCAGTATGTGTCCTCCATCCACAAGGTGGAACCTCAGAGGACCAGCAGGAGACTCTCTCAACATTCACCTCATGACCAAGGCCAGTCGATTGCCTTCAGTAGGTAAGAGTCACCCACTATCCATATGAACAAAGGCTTCCGGGTCCATTTATCATGAGTCCTCACCTGAAACACTGCCACAGCCCTCTCAATATACTTGGTTCTGCTCCAGCGTCATTCTGCCGAAATCAAAGCTGGTTCTCGCCACTTTCGGTGTCTCATGGACCTCCTAAGTCTCGGTTGCTTCCTCTGTGTCACAGAGCCAATAATGATCACCTTGAAGGCGAGGCCGGTGAGGAATGAAATGACGGATGCGGAACAGGGTTTGTAAATTCTGAAGCTAATTAAGTCCCCTCTTGAGCAGTCAGAGAACCATTTTCAGCACCAATAATATGAGAGAGCAGGTCTGTGTGCGCTGTCCGTGGTCCTGAAAACGGGCCCGCGCTCCGTATTTTGATGAAAAGGTCTGTATCATGAATTTCATTGTTTTGAGACTTTTGGAAACAGAGTCTCGCTGTTTTACTAGATCAGTCTTGCCCAGGCTGACCTGGTACTCACATTGTAGCCCAGACTGGTTCGGAACTCAGGGTTATCGACCTGCCTAAACTCCTGAGTGCTGGGTTAGACGCAGTGTCCCTAACCCTAGTTTTTCCTGTGGATTTTAAATCCTCACTTGCCATCTAGATTTTCTTATTATCTTAAGTTAAAGTGATCAGTTAATTAGTGGTTTCTAAGACATAAGCCCAAGTGTGAGGCTGCAAGAAGTGATCTGTATAAATTTGCAATCCCAATTCGACCTACTAAGGAACGGTGTGGCCACAACAAGAAACTTAGCTGTATTTGAAAAAATGTGGATAGAATATTTCCTTGGGCCGGGCAGCGGTGGCACTCGCCTTTAATCCCAGCACTCGGGAGGCAGAGCCAGGCGGATCTCTGTGAGTTCAAAGCCAGCCTGGTCTACAGAGCGAGATCTAGAACAGGCACCAAAACTACACAGAGAAACCCTTTCTCAAAAAACAAAACAAAAACAACAACAACAAAAAAAAAAAAAGAATATTCCCTTGCTCCTGAGTGACTGGTCATGAAAGTCATCTATAAATCAAATTTTAGCTCTGTGTCCCTGCCCAAGAGGTTCATTTGCCTTCGTTATTATTTTAGCAGGTGGCTTTCACAGTTCAGGCACAAGGATCTCTTATCACTTACAAGACAATCAGAGCTCTCATCTGAGAGAGGGAAGTGGGAGGGTCCCACTTCTCTGCTCAAAAATAGAGGGAAATGGGCAGTGAGTCCTCACGCCTTCTGCAGTTGACCCAAGTGGAAGCCCTGGACATCGACTCCAGGCACTTTCTTTTCTACGACCGCTCTGAGATTCAATGCTAGTCCCAGTTTACAGACCTAGAAACTGAGGCTCAAAGAGGTGAGATGAATTGTTGGAGGATATCCAGGAGGAGGACCGGGCTTACCCTGACCAGAGAGTGGGAGGATGCTGCCGGGAGGATTCAGGGAGCCTCCCAGCCCAGGGCGGCCACTCGCCGGAGCGTGGGCAGCAGCGAGACAAAGGGCCGGGGGCGGGGCGGAGGGGGCAGAGGCCGGAAGTGCGG